GCCCACCAGGGTGCGTGTTAAGGAAGGTAAACGTTAAAAAACAAGAAAATCGTCCACTAAAAATTAAATGATATTCGTTGATTTGTTGTGAGGCTCGTTTGTCAACCCAGTGCTCTCCTCCCCCCCCCCTTTCCGTCCTTACCAAGCCCGTGGCTGCGACCCTGGGCCCACGAACTTTTAATTGCAGCATTGCCCACTTGGGTGTGCTTGATAATAAGTATACGTTTTACCATGTATACGCTTGCTAACAAGTATACCTTTTACACTATTGTCGCTTATAAGCACTTGCAGTAGAAATAATTCAGTGGATAGGTAATGGGTAAATATATTTTTGAATCAGAGCTAGTGAATGGTAGAGCTTTTTTGAAACACATACTGTTTTTGTTTTTTGTTTTTTTTTTAAGTTAAGTACTCATGTCAATCGGGGCTTTTTGCTAGAAACACGTGCACGCTCAGGTACAGTTGCCGACAAGCCTTTGTCTCACTCAGCATCTGATATAACTTCCCCAAGTAAAAATAATCATATTTCCTTCAAAGTCCGGAAATGTGTTATTTTATTACACAAATATTGATCATCTTGCGGAGAGGGCATGGCTTGGCTGCTCCCCCTGTTAGCGTGAGAGGAACACGACCGAGTGGTGGCAGACGACAATAATCAGCATCACTGACGGCAGCGCTGAGTCCTGATGGAGGCTTCTCCTGGCCTGGGACCGCAGTACTCTGTACTTAGACTATACAATCAATCAATCTCGGGAGGATGTAGGATTAATCTCGGGAGGATGTGGGTGAGGCCGGGCCCCTCATTTTGCCATCTTCTGCTGCCGGAAATCAGGCGAAAGGCTCCACGGGTTGTCCATGGTCTTTTTTAAAGCACGGAACAAAACAACAGAAACACAGTGAAATACATTGATTTTGTATTGAAAGGGAAATGATGGCATTGTGAGACAACTATCAGCTTAACAACACATAGTTCGCATGCAAGTGGAAGTCGACCCAGTGCGCCAGTGACTGAGTCTTACTCATTCCAGCTCATCAAAACCATTAAAAGTAAGGGACCGCTACTTCCCTCCCAATGTTTGACGCTAACTCACGTACAGTGACAGTCTGAACACTCACTGGGGTGCTCTGTGAGCCGTCTGAACACTCACTGGGGGTGCTCTGTGAGCCGTCTGAACATTCACTGGGGTGCTCTGTGAGCCGTCAGTGACCCCTTGACAGTCTTGGCCGTAGCCAATTTGATACTAAACGCATCCTCCGCTCGAAGGACTTCTCCTTTTAGTACGAGGAAGCCTACCATCTGCACATTAGCTTTACCCTGCACGAACTGGCATAGCTTCTTAGCGTAATGAATTTGGTCAGAATGGAGGCGCGACAGGCTGGCACTGGCAGCAACCCGTTTTTAATGTCCCCAACTCCGTCGCAAGAGTTCTTCTGTTGGGATGTGGAAAAGAATGCCACTCGCACGTCACACCAGAGTCCTCCTTATCAAAGCAAACCGGTTCAAAAAATTGAACCTGTCCTTGTATGCAAGGACGGGTTCATTTTTTTTAGCTGATCAGCCGTGCCGTGTACTGCACAGGATATTTTTCTGAGAAGCAATGCACTTTTTCCATGTCTGAAATCAAGCTTTTTTCGGTAAAAGGTACTGTAGAAATGTATGGGCCACAGTAATGCTGTTTCAGCGCGTCTGATAGCGCATTAACTCTTATGTGCAATATTCTTTCATGCGCAGTCGTTAATTCTAACTTCTCAGCTTCTCGTCAATGTACCAAGAAAGGATGCAGCGTGCATTGCGGCGCGTCCCAATGAAACGGCTTTCGTTGAAATTTCGTTGAATTTTCAATGAAACGTCGTCGTGAACGGCGAACATGCAGTTTTCTAAAAAAATAAAAATAATTTTTAACTTTAAATACAAGGTTTGTTCAAGACCATCCAAAACGACCTGAACGTTATCTCCAGCTTCATCTGAGTTGAGGTAGTGCTCGTTGAATTTTGTCCCTGGGACTGGGAGCTAGATAACTCGCACTTTGGTTCCGCGAGAGGAACCGCGTTATTGCCCCTAGGAAAGCTTCCAGGGTCTTAAGTAAGTTTGGTGCGACAGTTGCAACACAGAAGCGCTTACGTTTTTATTTGCTAATCCTGGACACTCTCTCGTTTTGATTCCCAAATGAATCGACACAACTGACGTAGTTTGAGCGTTCCATTGTCGCAAGACACACTGCCAATACTGCTACGGGATTTAACCGTACACCGGGCACTGACCCGAGGCACTGACCCCATCACTGGGTCTTTGTTTGACTTCTGAATCATCCCTCGCAAACAAAGACGCGCCACCCTCGCAGTACGCACTCACCTCCCCGTCCCCTCCCGGTCCATTTAGCCCGGTCCCGACAGGCCACATGGGGGGGGGGGGGGGAGGCAGCCGGCCGCGGCGCCGCGCCGCACGCCCAGTCTTCGTGCGTTACGTATGATTCCTCGGTGCATGAACCGGATCTTTCCAAGAGGAGAACCACCTTGTGAACTGTTCTATGTTGGGTTAAAAAAACTACGCTTTTTCACAGATAAATGAGGAATAGATCAGTAGGATATACGAGCAATGTTTTTTGTGGCAAAAATTCATAGTACCCTGACCATTGTCGCTATTTTTATTTTTTGTGCCATGACGCTTTCAAGAATAGCATAACAATATTCTGGACAGTTTTCTGATCCTTTTAACGTTTAGGTTTGCCAAGTTGTCTTTCAAGGACGTAAAAACAGGTCACCGAAGGTAGCCTTGAAGCCACGCAACTCGAATTTGCCGAAGTCTGACTCCGAAACGGTGCCACTGAGAGATCTACCAATTTCGCAGGCGACATCAACGCTGATGACAATCCTGTTATCCTAATTCCATCAAAAAACAGAGGGATGAGGATGTAAGGCGCATGTCGCTTTGTCGTGCAATGCCGTAGATGATGGTGCACCTTGTAAAAAAACAAGATCGATGAATGCGAGCGGCTGGAGTCTCTGGGGCTCTCAGGCTTGAAGGTTCCTAGTGCCCTTGCTCTGGGCATGCGTAGGCAGGCGTCCAGGGTCAGGACGTGCGATTCGAGTCTCTTGTGCTCCTGTCAGGCACTTTTGTTTGGCGTATGGGTAAAATGTCTCGCTTCTCTTTCATAGGCGGATCGTGCGGAGGAGGGGGGCCACGGGGCCATGGCCACCCCAAAACCTCTGAGAGTATGTTTTGGCCCTCCCCCCCCCCCAACATTCCCAGAACTTCATAAAAGTTTCGTGTGCCTACCGTCTGTTTTGACTTTGACTGTTTTAACTGTTTTGTTTTAACTTCTGTTAAATATTCAAAAGCATTTCGGTGCTTTTTTCGGTTTTGAATGGTGTCCCTACTAGGTACTCGCGGGAGGCACCATGCACTGGACCTCGGATCCCACACCAGACAGCTGGCGACGAACGGTTGCCCCCACCCCCCAAAAAAAACAACTCCAGGCTAGATCCGCCACTGTTCTCTTTGTGCCGTCATGGTCATCTTTCCATCATTATAAAGCGTTGCTGGTGTGCGGTGCGCGTACATGCAGCATCGCATGAGCCAACTCCGGATCTCTTGCCCAGCATGGTGCATCTCAGTCGCTCACATTTGTTATCAACAAATATCACCAAACATTCCACTAAGATTCACTTTTTCTGTTCCGAGCTAGGTTGAAGCCATTAGCCAGCATGTTACAGAAGTTAAGATTTGGATGTTGCATTGGTAACTCATACGCAGTGATTCACATGGCACTCAGATGTAGGCAAAGCAGCATTTAGGCTTAGATGTTCAGATTCAGTGAAGCCTTTTTTATGCTTGGTGGCTTTAAGTGGGCTAGGACTCGGATGACATCGGAAGAACAGCTGAAAGGAAGGCATGTGCTTAGTATGTGTGGTTAGACAGTATCAGGTGATAGTGAAAGATTCACATAACATGGGGAAAAGAGTAAACATTATTCCTCACAGGGTGTTGTTTTACCCCCAACGCCATCAATTCTAGTACAACGCCCCTGGAACTTGATGACCGCCACCTCCCCACACAAAGTCATCAGATTTCGGTCACGTTATTTTCAGATTCCAACTTTCTAATCAGTAAAATATCTGGTACCAGAATGGCCCACTGGGCTTGCTCCACTTCATTTTTTTAGCCTAGTTTTCTGTATGCGTTCTGTATGCGCAGTTATCTGTATTTCTGGTGAACTCCAAGATTTGGGGCCGGTGTTCCTTCAGCTCAAGGGGGAGGGGTCACGGCCCTACGGCCCTTTCCTTCGGATCCGCTTAAGCACATACACATCTTGGCACACGATATTGGTCTGTTGCTCCCACTTGTCCGCCAAAAGATTTCTCACTGAACGTAATGTCAGCGGACAATTGTACAAAGTTATAACAAATTGACATGCCTTCCAATACCATCGGCGTACTCTGGGTAGCTGAAGCTATAGATAGCAACAATATCAACATAAATTATAACTACAATGAAAGGCCCATGGCCACCCACCATGGCGTTCCCGATCACTGAGTACTAATGGACATTTAAATAAACTGGACATATAAATAAAATAGAGATAAATACAAAATGGACAAATTCCTTCCTTGAACAAATTTGGACACGGAAAATAGAAACCATGAAAACTGTAGCAACTAGATCCACACAGTAATTCCTAAGTGATTAAGATACTGGGAAAATGTTTTAAGTAAATAGTCTTGTCAGTGCACTGCTTTCCCAGGCAGTCGGAATGTATAACAATGACAAGATATTCCGTGTAACTTCCCCGTCCGGTACTTAGATACGTCGATTCCGGGCGGCTGGTGACTGCAAAACCAACGGACACGGCAAAATTTAGGGTGTAGTTACGTCCATGTTATGGCTGTTGACGAAAACTTGCGGACAAATCCTGTTCTATGACGATCCCCGCGATGTCGCAAAATTCCACCGAGACAGGATTCTAGATGTCCCTGAAAATCGTCTGATATGTCTGCTGCAGGTGGAGAACGAGTACGGCAGTTACCCGGCGGTGCGACGCGGGTGTACACGGCGCAGCTGCGGATCTGCTGCGCAAGCACCTGGGCGACGACGTGGTCCTCTTCACGACCGACGGCGGCTCCGACTACTACCTGAAGTGCGGCCCGGTAGCCGACGTGTTCGCCACGGTCGACTTCGACACCAACGCCGACGCGGAAGCGGCGTTTGAGGCGCAGCGGCGCCACAACGCCATAGGCGGACCGCGCGTCAATTCCGAGTTCTACCCGGGCTGGATTAACCACTGGGGCTACCCGCGCAACACCGTGTCCACGCAACAGGTCGTCAACGCCACGAAGGCATTGATGGCGCTCGGGGCTAGCTTCAACTTCTACATGATGCACGGTGGGACTTCCTTTGGCTTCGCAGCCGGCGCCAACATGGGCGACACGTTCGAGCCGTGCACCACGTCCTACGACTTCGACGCGCCCATCTCCCGAGAATGGCACACACACCGACAAGCTGCCGGCTCTGCGCGAACTCATCTACCCGTACACCAACATGACGCCGCTGGCCGTGCCCGATCCGCTGCCGGTGGTCGCGTACGGCGCCGTCGCCATGACCTGGCAGACGGGCCTGCTGCAGGCCGTGTCCCAGCTGAACGTCACGCGCGTCTCGCACTCGCCGTGGTGCCCGTTCTGCGACGTGCACCAGGCGGTACGGCTTCGGTCGCCTACTCTGCCGCTGTGACGTGGAAGCCGACCGCGCCGGCCGGGCTGGACGTGCCGGCCTGCGCGACCGCGCCTACGTCTGGGTGGACGGTCGGCTGGCGGGCGTGCTGACGCGCCAGACAGCGTGCTCCAGCTGCCGGTGATGGCCGACCGCGGCAGCCGACTCACCCTGCTGGTGGAGAGCCTCGGCCGCCTCTGCTACGGGCGATGTCGACGACCGCAAGGGCCTGAGTGAAGGAGGTGAACGCTGGGCGGTCGCCAGCTGAATGACTGGAACGTCACCACCGTGCCGCAGCAGCTGACGCAGCTGGTGCCAGCGGCGCCGACCACGCCGCCGCTCGAGCCACACCAGCCGGCGCTGTATCGCGGCCAGTTCAACGCGCCCAGCAAGCCGGCCGACACCTTCCTCCACCTGGACGGGTGGCGCAAGGGCGTGGCGTTCGTCAACGAGCAGAACCTGGGCCGGTACTGGCCGGCCGCCGGGCCGCAGCTGACGCTGTACGTGCCGGCGCCCTTCCTCCAGCCGGGCAGCAACGTCATCACGCTGCTGGAGCTGGAGGGTGCGCCCTGCGGGCCGGGCGACCACTGCACGGTCTCCCTGAAGGACTACCCGGTCCTGAATGGTCCGACACCGGACAGATCGTAGAAAGAGCCCGATCGCGAAGCGCAGACCTGAAATCACACCTGGTCCCCTTTTTGATTTTCCCATGGTGACGGGAAAGGCGTTTAGTCGGGCTTTCTTGGTGATGCTGGGTTATTACACTGCATGACGGGAGATTGAAAAATAGCCGATTTACCGGATATGATTGGGGACAAAAATTGCCATTTTTTGCGAGCTTGGAGGCTTTAAGAACAAAATCGTGAAACTGGAACGATTTACAGCAGACCCCCGTTAGACAACACCCCACTTAGCACTGGTGTGTGCTCACCCACGCTTGCACACTTCCAAACTTAGAAGCACGATTCCTGATAGTTTCTAACAGGTGACAGAAATCTACTACGCAATATAATTTGTCAGTGTTAACGCGCAGATCAGTGGTAACGCGCGTATTTATTCGGGCACGCATGCTAATTCCACTGCAGGCAAAAATGTTATGCAAAGCTATCACAGAAGTTAATGTTTTCCCGGGCTCTTAGAACCTTCTGCTGTACTGCGGAATATCAGAGCTTCGTGAGACGCCCCACCGAAGCAAAGGCCATTCTTCGACTCGCGGCCCGGTTCAGCGGACCGACGTATCATCAGCCGAAGGTCGGACCAATCGCTTCTCCTCAGACGCCAGCTGACCACGTGCAGCGAGCCGCCGAGCCGGTCCGTCCCGGGGCCGACGCTCAAGGTCAGCGTCCTGGGCTGCTCGTGGGGGGGGGGGGGGGGGGGGGGCACAGACGCGCGCCAGGCGACCGCAGACGTCGGGACGGCGACGGCGGGCGCGGGGGCAGGTGTCGGCGACGAAATCGGCAACCCTGCATGGCGCCCGCGTCACGGCACGCCTGATAACCGATTACCCACTCCACACCGTATCAGGGGAAAGATGGGCCTATCGATCCGCCAGCATTAGCCAGCTGGCCTTGTCTAATCGCTTCCAACCACTTCTCCGGCAGTATTGAAGACGTACTGTTTTCAGCATTTCACCCTTTCGTCGGGACCGGCGAGACCTCGACGCTGTGTCTGACGACAAGACTGTGCTACAGTCATGCGAGAACTTCAATATTTCATCCCGGGGAAGCCGGAATGTCATGGGATTGCTGAAGAACGGCGACGGCCATTGGGTGGGTGCCACTGTTTAGGTGTCGGTTTATTATACATGTTTATCGGTGGTATGTTTTGCCGCTTTCTTGCCGGCACGCCATTGCTTGTTATCAGTTCTTGTTACGCTGAAAATATATGATGAGTCTTGTACCAACGCTTTAACCAGAAAACCGGCTGGGCATCAAACCACCTGGAGCGTATGACTGACGGTGATAAGTGTGGTTTATGGTTGCGTTCCCCAATAAATGAATGGCGTTAGAGCAATCGTAAAAAATCTAGAACAGGAAAAATGCCTCGCGTCTAGAACATGGGCTTTGTCAGTACAGGAGGGAGTTAAATGGAAGGATGGGCTTCGTGGCAGCATAAGTAGCAGTGAAGGATCGATAGACCCTTTGCACAAAAGGAAATTTTGAGTGAATACTTAAGATGAGAAGGAAATCAATTTGAATGCAATGGGAGGGGGAAAAAGCACTCAGCTTATGAATGAGAAAGATGGTGGTTAAACTGGAGCAGCAGCCACACTTCCAAACATTACTTTTACGTAGTATGTTATGGCCAGTGGTTAGCCAGAGTTAGTGTGTGGTCTGAAGCAGTTGAAATGTAAAGGAAAAAAGGTAAAGGAAAAACTTTTTCGTCAGCCGCACATCGAACGCTTCGTCAGCACGCGTGACGTCACGTATTCCAGCTGACAATTCCAAATGATTTGCCATGAAGGGCGTCCCTGGCAAAAGCGTGAGAAAGCCCTGCCAATCCAGGAGACTAATCGTTCGAGGATACCAGAGCTGCAGCTCCAGAGGGCCCATGCGCCCCTCCAGAGCTCCAGCTCATGTGCCCTAACCCCCTCCAGAGGGCAACGGAGGACGCTCAAGCGACACATGAGTAGAATTCATCGGCGGCTTTCTGCTGCTGACAGGTGCATCGACTTTAGGGTGATAGGCTGCTAGTTTAACTGGTGCAGAAGTGCTGCAAGTATGACCCTAGTGCTACAGGTGCACCCAAATGCATGATATTGTTGCTTTCTGTGTCGTGTGTCTCAGGTCATGCTGTAGTGCCACAGGGATGCAGCTTTGTAAAATACGTGGGAGGCTTGTAAATAGCTGTAGGGCCACAAGGATGCAGCTTTGCAAAATACGTGGGAGGGGAAGGGGCTCAGCAATGTAAAATGGCTGAAGTTACCTCCAAAATATATCTAGAACAGACTTCTCCTCAGATCTGACCCTCTTTCCTCTCAGCATTGTGAGCCACCGCCCAACTAAATAAACCGCCTCCCTGTAGGGCTAGTTAAGTTGGATATTCTGTTTTTCTATAACGTTTCGTATCATTTATGACCTTTCTGTGTTGTGGATATATTATGAGTATTGGAGTAAATGCTGTTATATTAATGATTTTATACTTAGTTCTATTTTGTGCTAGGACATTGCTTAGGGGCATCCAGTTGAATAACTGCACTGAAACCAAATCTGAGCTAACAGTGATGATTTTGAAAGAAGCCTGACGCATGGACACCTGACAACGCTTTGACTTACGTAGCACACAGTGTTTGTAATCAGACAGTTGGCTATCAGACCTTTGAATTTCGATATGAAATTCATGATCACCCTGTTACATGTCGGATAGTTGTAAATATCAATATGGCATATATATATATATATATTAATATATATATATACTCTCTCTCTCTCTCTCTCTCTCCTCTCTCTCTCTCTCTCTCGCTCTCCTCTCTCTCTCTCCTCTCTCTCCTCTCTTCCTCTCTCCTCCTCTCTCTCTCCTCCTCTCCTCTCTCTCTCTCGCTCGCGCGCTCTCCCTCTCTCTCCCTCTCTCTCTCTCTCTCTCTCTCTCTCTCTCTCTCTCTCTCTCTCTCTCTCTCTTAAACGGCAGAAAAGGAGGTCAAAAGGTTTGACCTGAAGCCTCCTTTCTTTACAGTGCATAAATACATCGCGAGGTTTTAAAACGAAAAGGGCCGGGTATCTCAGAGAATCTCCGAAGGGTCGGCGATTCCTCCGTCGGGCTGACATTTTGCAGGGTGTAGGCGCCGAGCGCCCAGCCGTTGGCGCGCCAGGCCCATACGGTCTCCCATCACCGTGTCCGTCTCAATGTTCCCCCGACAGCTGACGGCCGGCTGTCACTGGTGCGGCACCGTCTGAACGTGTCAGTGGCCCGCTGCACCGGCCACTCGTACACTGATTCTTAAGTCCTGACTAAAGGGACTTGACATGGCCGGAAGATGAAATCCTGCAATGGACACTTATTTTAATGTTAATGACGTTCATAATACATTGCATTTCATTTGTCTGTATTTTGGGTGGTCTAGCGCATTTAAAGAAATCCCTTTTGGGAACATCTTTTTGGGAACATTATCTGTTATTCTGAATTCGGTAGGTTAATCTGACGCCGGATATCGATCGATCCGTCCCTGAATAGTCGCACTTTTCGTGAGAAGTATGGCTTTTTTGGCCAGATTCTGGCCATCACGGTTCAGGGGTCCGCTTATATGTAAGAAAGGCGCCGTCAGTGCGCCGGAATTATTTAAACAAAAAAATAATAGCTCATTGTTGCCGATGAGCGATTAAAAATTCGCGCCTGGCAGGACTCCCACAATGACACTGTGTGCGCATGATTGCGATCTACGCGCACCAGTGGATGTGTTTTACATTGAGAATTCTTACTTTGGAAACCGCCGGTGCGGACGCCCGCCAACACTGAGAGACAAGCTGACGGATGGCTGACCGAATACAAAGAAAGCCGGAATCAAAGAAGCTTGTTGTACTAGCAGCTGACGTCGCTGTAATAGCGAATCGATTTTTCGCAGTCGTACTCTTAGCGCGTGACCGGCAGCAATTTTCTCATGCCGCAGTATTCTGGCGCTATGGTCAAGCCGGCAAGCAAACAGAAAATGTGCCGCGAGGCGTGATTTAGCAAATACAAGTCCTAACGGCCGATGACCGATTTCAAATGTGGACGAAAGTCCCCCAACACTCACATCGTGTGCACCCATCGTACATGACCTTCAACGTGGATGTTGTAACTTCGCAAATAGCCGCTGTGGACATACTCGCATCACTGAGTGCTCCGTTGTCGGAGGAGGAGGTTGGTCAACTGAGTAAGATGAACATCTTAATCTGGAACTTGTGGTATACTGACAGCCGACAGCTGTATTCCAGCATCATCGCTCACATTCTCACATTTCGCGCACGATTTTAAGCATGTTCCCGGGCCGCCGTTTTCTGGCCATCACACCACCAACCGGCAGGCCGCAGTAAGGCATGGGTCGCCAAGGTATGGTTTGAGCAATGGATGTCACATCGGCAGATGAGCGATTTATATTGTTCGCCGATAGCCAGGAACACGGGAACAAGGGGGGGGGGGTGGAGAGTCGGGTCAGCTCACCCCCAATCTGAAAGCGGAGGGGGGGGGCGGTCCCCCAACTTTGAGGACCCATGCTGGTGAGTGACTCCGGACTGTGAGGGAATTATGTAAGCATGTTCAAGTTCATTCCGACCCGTCGAAGGCTCATTCTGGCCTCTTTAGGATCCATTCTGAGCATTCATTCTGAGGTCCCTTTTGGGCCTGTAGAGGGCCCATTCTGACCCGTAGAATGTCGATTACTTACTGCTGAGTGCCCATTCTGACCTTTGGAGGAAATTTATTGGCTGTGGAGGGCCCACTCTGGCCTGTAGAGGGCCCATCCATTCAGGTCCGTGGAGGGTCCATATGGCCTGTAGAGCCCGCCTGACATGAAAAGTGCATATCATTGACAATGGATGGCTTATTCGGACCTTTAGAAGGCCCATTCGGCCTGATGAGGACCCATTCTGACCTGTAGAGGTCTCATCCTGACCTGAAGCGGGCCAATGTCAGCCTTTAGAGGGCTTAGTGTTGACTGTCGAGGGTCTATTTTACCCTGCAGAAGGCCCATTCTGACCCGTATGGGAGCCATTCTGCACTGGACGGGGCCAATCATGACCAAAGGGCCTATTGAGGCCTGTATTCCGCCTCAATCTCGACCCCGCTTTGAAAGGACATCTGGCGCATCGCAGAAGTAGCAGCCACGAGCGTCGGACGTCCTTGAAATTGCATGCCACTTAGGTTCTAGTTGAATCCACGAGAACCAAATTCCCAACAGACTCACAATACATTGCTTTATGAACACCGCTCATTGAACAGGTTCGGCTGAACCACACTGGGCTCGTTGTTTCTTCTGGCGTCACCTGTCTCGAAAACGCGAACAGCTGAGCGCCTTACGCGATAACGTCAAGATCGGAACGAACCGCATCGCGACGCCACACTCCTGCCCTTTAACACACCAACCGGTGGTCACAGGTAATGTATATAGTTTATTCAGTATTGAACAACCAATGCTTCGCACAGCGGGCGCTAGCCCCCGCGACGGTGGCGACACACCGCTGCAGCGGCGGCGCGAAGAGTTAACTTACGGTGAAAACGGGACACGGAAAAGCACGGGAGGTACAGCTGTGAAAGTCAATGCCCAAAATGAAAGACACCTCACAGGAGACCGCGCCACATTCACGCCAGAATATAATTTATAGGTACGGTTCCCCAGGCGTCC